TACTTCGTCGTCGTCATCGTCATCCTTTCTGTGTCTACAATATGAATAACATATTTATATAAGGTTACATAAATATTATTATACATGAAATACATATTCACATTGCACATAAATGCTACCATTTTTTGCGTATTCTCCATGTGCCAAACATTATGTTCAACACTTCAGATTTTTTAAAAATCCCATTTAATCCTCACAAGAATATTACAATTTAAATATGATGATCCACATTTTGCAGATACTATAAATGAGGCTTAGGAAGATTCAAGGTCCTGAGGTCATACAGCCAGTGTGTGGGAGATCCAGGACATGGTCCCAGGTACATTTGATTGCAGATTTGGGCTCCTGACACGTTGATACGCTGCCTTCGCACAGATGGTGCTCTCTGAGGCTCCCATTCTGAGGACGTAGTATGTCTGGGTTCATGCTCACATTTATCTGAAGAAGACACGGAAGTCCAGAGAGGTTGAGGAAACAGTCAGCCTTGGGGTCCCTCAGCTGTTGCCCAGATCCTTTTAGTTCGAGTTCACCTTTTTCAGAATCTGCTTTCCTTTTTTGATTTTCTGATCGTGAAACAATTTTTGAGAATATTAGAGAAAAGGAGGACATGGAATGAGAAAAAAGCATTTGCTTTAATAGTCTGTGAATTTAACCGACATTACAGAAGACTAGGGTTGTCAGTTGCAATGAACAGAATGAGCCCACGTATCACCACGTAGCTTCTCTGTCCAATGATAATGGATCATATTCTGAGGCAGTAAGTCCTCTGGAGAAAGGAGAAGAGCTTCTACATGTTTCTCAGAGCCCCTCCAGCCTGTTGCTCTGCCTTGGCCCCCCCAAGCCTCGCATCTCTTTGGACTCGAGGTCCCACTTGGGCCTCAGGTACAAGGAAGGGGGCCCTGGACTGAGACAGAACCTGGATCAGGGTGGTTCAGGCCCGATGACCTGCCAACAGAGTTCCCTGGTGAAGCTGGCCTCCCTGTGCTTGTGTTTTGTCTGCTGCTAATGATCTCTGCCCAGGATTAGACCTCCTGCTAACCTTTGGCCTGATTACTGCCTCATTTCTCTTAGTATTCTCTTTTAACGTGGTGCCCTGTCTGCTGGGCCACACTTGTTCCTGGAGCTGACAGTGTACCTCTGTCTCCCTAACCTCAGCCCAGCCCAGCATCCATACCCACACTTACCCTAATTAGGCCCAGACTTGACCAAGACAGGCCTCTATTGCCTTTCTTCCAAGTGGGATCAAGTTCTCATTGCCAATAATTAGACTTCAGGGAGGCATTGATGTTGGAAAGGGCAGAAAGGGGGCCAGCTGCTGCTCGGGGCAGTGGACCAATGGAGAAGGATGGGTGGGGTATAGCACAGCAGGCAGGGGCCTCTGCCCGGCAGAGTGCACATCTGACTTTGGCTGGCTGCTGTCCCAGTGGAATAAACCATGAGCTCGAGTGCCAAGATCCCTTCTCCTCTACTCTGACTCCTGCAGCCCCTCAGGACATGGGTCACAGTGTCACTCGCTCACTATGGCTGTAGCATGGACAGCAGGTTGGAGTCCCCCAAGCTTACCAGGCTATCCCCGGCCCATCTCTTCCTGGGCCACTCCGTGAGTCTCGGTTTACTCTTCTCAAGTCTTCTGCTAAGTTTGGTGCCCATCCTTCACGTTCTCCTTAAACCCAGAGATTTCCCCAAGCAAGGACCATGTTGCAGTTCCTGACCCCATATCTCAGCAATTGTACATGCCCAGGAACTGCCACACGAATGACCGAAAGAAGGATACTGCCATGCCTCTTAACACCCTGAACTCAAACCCGAACCTGCCCTCTGCCACCTGCTCGTCTAATTGAAGAAACACTGGACTATGTATGAATCAGGAAGCCGGATTTTTTTTTTTTTCTGGTTTTGTCTTGTCCAGTTGGGAAAAGACAATGAGAAAGACATGCTTTCTGAGTCTTGGCCTTGGCTCCTGTGTGCTCGCTGTCTGCAACACAAGGGGAAATCTGGACAGGGCTCCGGTCTTGGAAATAAATAACCCTTGCTCTTATTTAAGTACAATTTCTGAAAGAAAGTTCTACTCTATACTTAATTGGATTCTTTCTTGCTGCAATTTAAGCCTTCTTCCTCCTTTCCCTGAGTGGAATTGTAACTCATTATCTCTGAAGTTCACAAGGGCAGCTTTTCTAAGCAAGACAAGGAACTGACTCTTGGAGCTTGCATTCTCTCCTCACCTTTGTCCTCCTGTGTCTGTGTCTTTCTCAGACTCCCAAAAAGTGTGCATTTGCTTTAATGAGTTAGTACATAATAGGTTCCTGTGCTATTTGAGAAAACAATTTCCATCTGTTCATATATTGTTAAAAAGTAATGGGTTCTTATTAAAAAAAAAAAAAGTCTAATGCTTTCCTACTTCCTCCTCTCAAATACTGAATCTCAGATCCTTTGAGGTCCAACATAATTTAAGTGTTAATTCCTTTCTAAGCTCTTTTCAAGCTACTGCACTCACCATGCAGATTTCATTAAACCTCAGAGTCTCTTCATATTGATGTTTTTGTAAAAAGCAAAGTAACTCTTGCTCTACATTAAAATATTTCGCTCAAGAGTAGTGTCTTTTGTCCCCATTTCTAAAGACGTGTTTATTTATTTGGCCTTCCGAAAGGAAACAGAAGTCTGTCACTACTAACAGAGGATGCAAGCGCCGGGCTTCTCATCTCATTTGTGGGCAACATCTGGTTATTGTAATTCACAGCATTCGCTGTCCTGAGCGGTTTCAGCCTTAAATCACCCTGTGTTGGCAAACAACAGTGAGGGCCAGGCCAGGAAAGGAACAGACGAATCCTGTGCACGGAATGAGATTAAATAAAGGCATGAGCCTGCCAATATTTCAATTTCTAATATATTCACCTTGAAGCCAATCTGTTGTTTCAGTGATGCTGACACTAAAAGCCCTTCTGTTCTGGAACTTCCCCCTTTAGATCTGGCAGCTGGATCAGAGTAAATTTTTAGTAGTAACATGTATCAGGTGAATCATCAAGTCGGGTCATTCTACATGGAGACGTTAAGGTAGTCAAAAGAGTCTTGTTTACATAAGGAGCCAGAGATGGAGACCGAGACCGAGACCCAGAGCGCCAAGCAGACTCTGCCCATGTGTCCGCTTTGGGATGCTGGGGATTCCATGCAACTACTTTATGCCTCAATTTCTTCATCTGTAAAATGAGAATAAGACCTATGAAACTTTAGGAGCATTTTAAATTCCAAAGGTGAATCTTCTCTGTCACTTCCCAGCTTTTCTATCTTTTCTGTCTCACTTGCTTTGAGCAATATCAGCACAGACTCTGGAACACTAGTGCCCAAAGAGATTATTCAGCCTAACAATCCCATGTTACAGACGAAGAAACTGAGAACCATAATTACAGAGGAAATACCAAGAATGTCAAGGTGGCGCCTTTGAACGAGAATGCTTATTTGGCACTTATATTTATGTGGTTTTTGCTTGTTTGTTTGTTTTTTAACAAAACCAAAATTGGAAAAAAAAAAAAAAAAAACCAACCTCATTTTATTGAAGTCATGCTGGTGCGCTCTCAAGTTAGATAGATTTCCTAAGAAATGGGACGGCAGTCCTCTTGGGGTTAGAGATCAGGAGCACCCTGCTTATTCTGTTCGACCCAGAGGAGGAGCAGAAATATCCAGGGTATAGAGGAAAGCTATCACAAGCCTTCTCCCCAAACGGAAGAGTGTTTGCCGGTGTTTTGTATGCTCTGGAGTGTCTTCATAAACAGAGGGTGTCCCTGTCACTTCATCTGCCTCTGGGTGTCGCCTACCTTTCAGCACAGGTAAGCAGAGTGAGACCACTCCTGGGCTGAGGCAGAGGCTGTCCCTGAGAGCCAAGAGGGTGGAATGGGAATGATCTAGGAAGAGGAAGGAGAAAAGATAGGACAGTAGGAAAAGAAAAGGGAGTTCATTGCCGAGGAGTTGCAGAGGGTCACTGTGGCTTCTGGTGGCATCTGTGCTCCTGTATGTCTCCCTGAGCATCATCACAGCACCCAGTGAGAGTGTCTGCTTTCTCTGAACAGAAGTGCTCTTCAGAGACGGATCCCTTCGCAGTATTCTAACAATCCCTGCTTGTAAATCAATCTGACTTCTTTAGGAAAAGAAAATCCCTGTTTATGACCATTGAAATTACTTGTTTCACTACAATGCTAAAAAAAAAAAAGAAAAAAAAGCTTTGCTTATATTGGAAAACCCATTCTTTTGGCCCCCTTACTTTTTTTATACAGAGTGTAATTTTTTTTTTTTTTTTTAATAACAGGGCATAAAGATTTCAGGAGGGTTGGTCCATTATTTATTTGTTGACTGAATTATAGGAAGAAAGTATGATCATCCGATGGAATGCAGAAGCATATACAGCTAATTCTGTGCCTATGTGTACTTAACCCAGCCATAGTAATAACTCTTTGTTTTATATTTCCGGGGGAAAATAGGTTAGGTTGGACCTGAATGCATCATTATAAAGTATGCACATATAAATTGGACTTTTCTAAATCTAGGTCACTTGGATAAGAAGGTTCTTTTGAGAAAACCAGACTGACAATTAGATTCACAGGGCACTTCAATGTTAAATGGCATTCTTCCCACATTCTGGGTCATAAGGCAGCAAGTATAAACAATACGCCGATGTGAAGACACAGAAAATCACATTCGCAACAATAGCCAAGCTTCGTGGTGCATGGTTTTCCACTTTAATATGCTGTGGTCTGTTCTGCCATGTTAATGTTTTAAGTGACATAATTTCCTTTTCGTGTAGTTTCAAGTTCATCTTTTATTTTCTCTTTATCTTTCTGGAATAGCTCTCTACAAGGCTATATCTTATGCTGGGAGAAATTCCTAACCAAAAAAAAAAAAAAAAAAAAAGAAAGTGTAAAGTCAAATAATCTTTGCAGGAAAACAGCAAAATAACAATGAAAATGGATTTAAGACCCTCCAGCCAAAATGTTATCTTGTGTACTTTACAGACTCAATCTGTGTCCCAGGCTTTGATCCAGGCCTCAACATGATGACTGGGATTACACCCATTAACCCAATGATTCCAGGCCTGGGGCTGGTGCCACCCCCACCACCAACAGAAGTGGCTGTCGTCAAAGAAATAATCCACTGCAAAAGTTGTACTCTTTTCCCTCAAAATCCAAGTAAGTGATACCTGCAACAAATAATCTGCTCCTCCATTTAAGATTTAAGTTTTCCTTTTTTTTTGTAATGTAGCATTGCATGCACTTTCAGATGTGACTCAGAATTCTTCCCCATGGATGCACCAAGTGGGGATCCATTTGACACGAGGCTTTTGTCTCTAGATTCACACAAATGGATGGGGCTGTGTCCATGGGTTCTATCCAGGAGCTGAACTGACACCATGAAGCCAGTGTATGTGATGTGGAGATACAGACCCAGCATTAAGAATCTTTTTGCATGCAACAAAGTCTAGCATTTGCCGCAGAACATGGTGTGAAATATATGAGCGTTTCTATCCATCTTCACAAATGTGGGAGAAAAATTCTGAAATGTGCTTTGCTTGATGGAAAATTGAATTAATTTGGCAGTTAGCAATTTTGGGGGAAGGCCACATCTCAGAGTTTCTGGGCAAATGGCATTTGCTTGAAGGAAACATACATTTGATGAAATAAATGAGTCAGAATTTTTTTTTAATTTAGTCTCAGATACTAAGTTTATGGGCTTAAATAGCTAGAATTTTTTTTTTATTCATATTAATCAGTGTTGTCTTTTCTAAGTGGACTTTTCAGGAGATTGCTTTAGTAATCTACATATAAACTAGGTAAAATGTTGTGACAGTGTATGTTTTATCTTTTCCTACAGCCTCCCCCAAATGTAATCGTTAGCTCATTTAAATGTGAATAAAAAAAAGTGTTGTTTTCAGTCCCAGTGTTCCCCTAGCCCAGCAAGGACTGAGCAGGCTTGCAGGTCCTATTCTCTGTCTTGCAGATCCATTATCCGTTATCCCGCAGCAAGACAAAGCAGATAACAAGCCCAAGTTCCCCATCATGTTGTCATCTCATCATGCTTTGTACCTTGTGAACTATTTCCCCCCCATTTTCTGGGCTTCTGTATTATGAAGTGGAAATTAAATTATGCTAACATTGGCACTATCTCTGTCCTGGGACAAGCTTAGCCACCTCCTGTAGAAAGGACCCCAGAAAGTAAAGTTTGGGAGGAGGAGGGGAGAGGAGGTAAGAATAAGGCAGGCCACTATCAGTGTAAGTCAGAGTAGACATTTATCATGACTCTGGGTTGAGAACATCGCTCTGTGAGTTTCCCTTTTGCCAGGTGAACCAGGAAGCGCACAAAGAAATAAAGGGCACACCCCTCTGTTTCTGTTGTGATTATTAGATCTTCCACCTCCTTCCACAAGAGAACGACCTCCTGGGTGTAAGACCGTGTTTGTCGGAGGATTACCAGAAAACGCTACTGAGGAAATTATTCAAGAAGTCTTTGAGCAGTGTGGTGATATTACAGCCATTCGGAAAAGCAAGAAGAATTTTTGTCACATTCGCTTTGCGGAGGAATTCATGGTTGATAAAGCCATTTACCTTTCCGGTACTTTGCATTACATAAGGGGTTTTTGAGGCATTTTGTTATATTTTGTGATGTTAATATGAGCTTGCTTCCCTTTTGCCTTCACGTGCAATAAAGTCCTCACAGTTTGGGGCTGGAAAAGGAGGACTTCTGCCTTTACCCTGGGCTGCCAGAAGCTCCACGTTAAGACCGAGAGCCCACCTCCCGGCAGGAAGGGTTTCCTACCACCAGTCTTGAGGAATTCCATTGAGTTTCTAATTAATATTCTCAAGTGCTTATTAGATGAAAAGCAATATTATGAATACTGAGGACCATTATTATTACTGGATGTAATTCCTCAGGGGAATAAAGTACTCTCTCGGCATAATTTCAGTTTTTCAGAAGTGGTTCAGTTTCTAGACCCCAGGGTACCACATCAAGATCAGTTTCCTTGCAGAAAGTAGTCCACAGGTCCTAGGGGGAGGCCCCATCCCACTGCCCAATTGCTAGTGCCTTTAGAGTGGTAAAGCCTACCCCCAGGATACCTGCTTCTTTGGTGCCATTTGATAGGGGAGATTTTCACAGATGTTGAAATTAGACCCAGTGCTGCCTGTGGGTGTTGGAGCAAGTGTACAGAGGCTGTCCTCGAGGCCTTTGCCAAATCAAAGAACCACAGATCTGGTATGTGGTTTTTGGGAGATGCTGCTTAGAATCAACTCATTGCCATTCCCTTGAGCTCTCCTTCCGCCTGTTTCAGTCTGTTGCTGGGCACACCACCTCCCTATTCCTGACGGAAAGCTAATGAGGGAAGGTGAGAAAAGAATAGGGGAAAAAAAAACAACAACAACTGAATGCTACCGCCAGGCTTACTTAATTCCTACAGGCAGTTGCTATTGCCTCGCAATTCCCTTGCAAACCCCAGAAGCCTTGGAGTTATTCCAATGCTGCTGCAACTTTCCTGAGCCCAGGTAGTGCTGACTTTAAAACCCTTATTCTGATAAAACCTTACAAAGGTGGGGGGTGGGGGGTGGAATCTGAAAGCATTCTAAAATAGAGGTGGAAGACGAAACATAGAAAAAAATATTTTACAACACACAAATAGCTGTGTGTTTTACCTGTCATGTATCTCGGGCCATTGCATCAGAGTAATCTAGCACACAGCTGGGGACTCTGTCGTGGCCGTGGGTCTCACATGCCTTGGGCAAGATAACCTCTCTCTGGCCTCCATTTTCTCATCTACAAAACTGAGGTAGTACCAGTACCAGTACTAACTCAGAGGATCATGATGAGGAATGAATCCAAATAATGGATAGTAAGTGCTTAGCAGGGCACCTGCAGCAAGAGGAACCATTGAGCAAATGGATGTTTTTAACACACATATCCCGAAGATGGTAAAGAAGGACTGATTCTCATTTCTCACAGACTTGCCCCGGGGAACCTGGGGTAACCACAGCTCTACCAATAAAACTATTACTTTACTCCACCTGATGAAATAAGAGGGGTAGAGTAGATCAGAACTGCTTTTCATCTCCAACAGAACACAACGTTTAGACCCAATCAGAAACCCCATGAGACATCGCCAAAAATGAACAGGCCCAAATTTAGGCACGGGAAAGGTATTCCTATATTTCTTCCTTGATGCTAGGCACTTCCCAGCATGGACCTTGGTCCTGCTTCTGAGCCAGTCATCTGATTGCCCCTTGGTCTGCCTCTTGGCAACAGAAGGAGCCCACAGCAAAGGCCTTACCTCCAGCCTCCCTGCCTGGATGCACAGTGGTCTCCCACCTCTCGGCCTCAGCCACCCTGGGGATGTTGTCCATTAGTCCAGGGAAGATCCGAAAGTCTGATTAACTGGAGGGGCAGGAGGGAAGGAAGGCTGCCCGTCCTGTGCGTGAGCTCCTACAAGCCCAAACCCAGCTGCTAGGCCTAATTTTAAGACCCTGTTCACAGTTGAAGTCCAAGCTAATTTTAGACTCAGCCTCATCAGAATCTCTTTTAAGGCCTTAATGATGATGTTTTGGTGAAAGAAAGGGTACTTTTTGGAACCAGAAATATCAAAAAAGTGGTGCTCTGGACACCCAACTAGTTAGGGTTACAGGCCAGCCTTAGGCGGGGCGGGCCGCTCAGCTGTTGCCGATTTGTCACCGTGGCCTGCTGACGCATTAAGTTCCTATGGCCCAGAACCAAGACACGCTCTGCTTTAGCATGAATTCTGCTCATACGTGATCGGATGTTTGCAGTTTTGGTTGGTATTGTCGTATCTTCCCATTTTTAGAGAACATCATTTAAACCTAGCAATGAGAAGGGCATAACAGGAATCAGATGTGAGATCTGTTTGGTATTTGTAACTTCTCAAAGGTATGAAGCGCCCTACAGAAAAGAAGTCAGCCTCTGCAAGGGTTTTCAGCTGAGTTTCAGCCCAAATGCCAAGATAATCCATTGAAATCTACCACGGAGATCTCGAATGTCAGCGTTAGTGCAGCCTAGCATTTCACAGTGGTATCTCATTTGCAAAGCCCCTACACAGCAAAAGTGCTCATTTTGCTCTCTCCTCTGGCAGCCCCAACAGCTGTGATCCTGCTGGGACTGAATTTATGTTTTTAAAATCTGAGTACCCCAAAGTGAAGAGCAGCCTCAAAGCCAAGTCGTCTTCATCTGAAGTGAGGCTGGCTGTCTGGGTTCAGTTCTGTTTGTGTTGATTTCTCCCATCAGGTTTCTGCACGTCATCTTTATAAGTTGGCTAGCTCTCAGTAAATCCCCCAAAGATTTCCAGGTTCTCCCCTCCCCTTTTTTTATTGGTCCAGCTCTGCGCTCTTGCGCAGGCTCCCGTGGCCTTCAAAGATTGCGCCGACAATTTGTGTGGGGCTGCATCCTAGATGAGGTGCTGCAGGGCTGTAAGGAAGGCAGCTGGTGAGGCCTCTTGATTGAAGGTAAAATATTCTCCTGTGTGCCCCAGAGGACAAATGGAAATAAAACAGCATTGCAAAATTGCCTTGGTAATTGTGGCTTTTGCAGCTGCCGAGAGAGAATGGAGAAGCATTTTCTAGGGGAATGAAGCAATAACCTGGGAGTGAGGTGTTGTGGAATTTACTTTGTAGATCTTTTTAAATACCATAGATATTCTTTATTTACTCCTATTTCGACTTTTTTTGAAAAAGAATTTAAGAACACTTATGCAAGAGAGTTACCGTAAATTGAAAATATAATACCACTGGCCCTAGAAACGCAGATAGGGGAAAAATGCTACATGCCAAATTTGTTTCTGAGCTCCCTGGAAGCCAGAGGGAAGAAGGAGTTATGGTAAGTGCCCTGGTTCTTGAGGTCATCATCTCAGTAACATGGGCTTGAAAGATGGGTGGGTGACCCCCTGAGACACCTCCTAGAACTGTGTTTACCCCCACATCTGTGATAAGCTGAACTTCACAGTACTTCCTTATCACCTGGGAGAAGGGTAATTGCTTCCTACCTCCTATGGAAGGAATGCAGTGCCCTTCCTGCGGGCTAAAAAAAAGGGGGGGGGGGGGCGGAAGTTTCGTCAGGGTGCCGTGAGGGCAGGGCCAAAACGGTGGCGTCGTCGCGGCGGTGACATCATGACGCCACCGGCCTCTTCATTGCTTTCAGGTTACCGGATGCGATTAGGGTCCAGCACGGACAAAAAGGACTCGGGCCGCCTGCATGTGGACTTCGCCCAGGCCAGGGACGACTTCTACGAGTGGGAATGCAAGCAGCGGATGCGCGCGCGCGAGGAGCGGCACCGGCGCAAGCTGGAGGAGGACCGGCTGCGGCCGCCCTCGCCGCCCGCCATCATGCACTACTCAGAGCACGAGGCCGCGCTGCTGGCCGACAAGCTGAAAGGTAGGGGCCGCCCTCGCATCTCCGGCCCGGCGGGAGGCATGGCCCGCTCGCAGGGCAACACCGCCATCCCCCAGGGCCCCAGCGCCCCCGACATCTCGGTCTCCGCGTGCTGGGTGCATGCAGGCGACGGCACCCGGAAGCAGGGGACACTTGGGCTTCCTCCTGCTGTTGGGACGCAGCCCGGCTCCTGCTCACCGGTGTTCGTGCACGAGTGTGTACGGTCGCGCAACGCGGTCCGTGGAAGAGGGGCAGAAGGGTCATGTGCTATCGCCCCAGAGCGGGCTCCTGTCTTCCCACCCGTGCGGACCGAGCGAGGCTAGTGTCTCCTGCAGGCAGGCGGGTCCTGGGGGAGGCTCCCGCTCCTGGTGGGGCTCCGGGTTCTGGAGCTTCCACCTACCTGTGCTCTTCTCAGAGCCTCCTTTCATGTGGGAAAGGGCGCTGGGGTCTGTGGAGGGTAGAAGCAAAACGTGGAACAGGATCTCTGCCTTCAGAAATGGAGTTGAAGGGACACTGCTGACACTACAGAATAATCGGGAATTAAAAGGAGTACATTTCATTTCTTTAGAGTTTGCTCGTTTCACATGTTTGATGCTATGGGGGATAAAGCCACATGGAGGCTTTAGTACCTGCCCCAGTGAATGGCGGATGATAGGGAAGGGGCCAGACTATAACTCGGGAGCACGCGTATGTGTGAATTCTCTTCCATTATTGATCAGAGTCCTGTAATCTGAGCAGCATCTGCATTTACAGGCAAATGATGGTCAGACCTTCCTCCGACCATTGAGTGTGTTGGGCTCTAACGTGAGAACGCAGGTTCGGGTAGCTGACCACACCCAGGTGTCTCAAGTAAATGATTAACTCTAGGACAAAGCCAGTGGCTGATTGAACCAACATTGTAGCAGCGTGTTTTGGGAACACGGTGGGCAAGTGTTGCTGAAGGTATCCAGAAAATCTTCCAGGAGAACCATGCAGGATAAACAGGTTTTTCTTTCCCAGGAGAAGAAGGGCCTTAAAGACATTCCAGTCAGAGGCAGGAGCTCTGGGATAAAAGACACAAGGATGCAGAGAAGAAGGTGGCACCGGAGGAGAAAGGCAAGGGGGCCTGCTCCAGCACCCAGGAGAGCGGCTTGGAAGTTTATAGAGCAGGGTGCAGCTGGAAGTGTGGCAGGGCCCTGAAAACTGCTGCTGGATTGGGGTTTTACTCCATAAGCAGTAGAGAAGCCATTAATGTTTTCTTATGAGGAGAGAGATGTGATTGATCCTTGGAGTGTCTTAGAGCATAGTTAGCACACTGCTGGCAGCATGTAAAGTGGATTGGATGTTTTCACTAAGTGAGATGTGTGAAAGCTGCCCAAAACCTATTTTAGGAGGATAGGAGGTTGACATTCTGTTTCTTTAAAAGAGTTAAAAAGGATGTCTGCTTCTAGCCCTCATGCTCTGTTCAGGCCTTCGGAGCCCCTAATCAGCTGCCGTTTTGGCTGAAAGCCCCCCACTGTAACTACCCAGGGCTTTTTTGCCACCAGCCCGTGTTGCTCTGCTCTGGGAGGCCCCGTCTGACAGACATAAATACACAGGCCACGGGTGTTCCTTTAACAAAAAAACATACCAAATGCAAACACAGTCATCATCTCCCTTTTCCATTCAGGCTACAGATCAGAAGGAGCGCTCAGAATGAGAGAGCACAACACCCTCAACCAGGAATATTGATTTTGGAACAAGTAGTTTTTTACTATTCTGCACATTGTGCATTATCAGCTTATGGGCTACACCTAGACATGACAAAAACTAGTGCCTTCATTCTGTGACCTCTTGGAGGAATTTTACAAAAATCTGGCCACCTTCTCTGCTTTTTAAGGAACCAGCACAGAAATGTCTATGCACGTGAGAGGAATGAGGCAGTACCTTTGCCGTGAGAGGATCACAGATTGGGATGTCAACTGGGTGAAGTAATTTGCAAGCTTTGCCATTTCAAAAATATATATTTATATAGATGAGTATAATTTGCAGAATTTAGGAGCTGCACCTTCTCCAAGTAGTTTGTGATCCCTTGAGAGAACAGATTGGAAAATTTAATAGATGACAGTTGCAGTAGAATGATCTAGCTGGGGATACATCTCAGGCAACCAGTCAGGTAATATCAAGCTTGACAATTTCAACCCAAGCACAGAGTTTGGAATATAAACAGCATTTAATTGCTTAGGAAATTGGCTGCCTCAGAGAGGAAATCCACTCCATGCTCCTTATATAACGCCGCAAAGCCAGATTGGGGGGGCAGGGAAACTGCTTCCCTGAAGATGATTTCATTGATGTGGGGATTTAAAAAAAAAAAAAAAATGCAGTCAAAACCCAAGGTAAAGAAGCCTTAGTAAAAAAGAAGATGGAAATATGATCTGAAAATACCTAATTGGATTTGATTTTTTTTTCCTCCCCTGGGAAATCATGCTATCTTAGGTTTATTACAAACATTTTTCCCCATTTTACATTGTACTTGTTTATTCTTGGAGTTTTCTTTTTGAAAATCAGTTCTATTTAGCAAAATCTATATAAGCCAACTCTTTTTTTTTTTCTAAGATTTTATTTATTTATTTGACAGAGAGAGATCACAAGTAGGCAGAGAGGCAGGCTGAGAGAGAGGGGGAAGCAGGCTCTCCGCTGAACAGAGAGCCCGATGTGGGGCTTGATCCCAGGACGCTGAGATCATGACCTGAGCCGAAGGCAGAGGCTTAACCCACTGAACCACTCAGGCACCCCAAGCCAACTCTTTATTATGACCCACAAGGCCCTCTACATCCTGCCCAGTTGTTAAAACTGTGTGCATAGTAAATGCTGAGATCCTTCTTCCCTCCCTCCCTCAGTGATTTGGAGCTTTGAGCTATGTTACATTTGTGGCCACTGGTGCCACCAGGCATGGTTGGAAGTACAGGGGGAGTGATGCTCACCACCAGCATTGCACAAATATTTGTGGAGCTCTTTACCGTATAGCTGGGACTGTGCTAATAAGCACTGCGTGGGGAGACAACGGCGTGCAGGCCCCCACCTCACAGAGTTTAGGCTTCTGAGGTGGTAGAGCCAGTTACAAAGCACCGGGACGGGGCACCTGGGTGGCTCAGTGGGTTAAGGCCTCTGCCTTTGGCTCAGGTCATGATCCCAGGGTCCTGGGATTGAGCCCCACATCGGACTTTCTGCTCAGCAGGGAGCCTGCTTCCCCCTCTCTCTCTGCCTGCCTCTCTGCCTACTTGTGATCTCTGTCAAATAAATAAATAAAAACTTTAAAAATAAAAATAGAAAAAAAGCACCGGGACTTGCTGATACTGTGTGTGAGAAGTGCAGTGGGAGCTCCCAGGAGTGACCCAGAACCCAGCTGGACAGGGTGCGAGGGCGGATCTTCTGAGACCAGCTCACCCCAGATCCAGTGGCCACTGGGCCTTCTTGAAGGCAGAGGAGAAGTCAAGTTGTAATTGTATAGAGTCTAAGGCAGTGTCTGTTACATTGATACAAATTCTAAAAAGAAATGTAGCAGGCACCCTGCTGATTAAATAGACATTGTTCTGAGACAATTCAACTTAATGAAGACTGATTGGGAAGTAACTGCTCACAGACCCAAACTTTATAGCATGGCTTTGAGAAAGTGAGAAGGAGCTCAATAACACCATAATTACACTTTATTGGAAACAGTAGCACCAGGCAGATGAGATAATGAATTTCAGTGTGTCTAACACAGACCATCCACCCCTGGAGGAACCCTGTGTTTGGACTGTGGAAGGAAGAGATTGATTAGATGGTGAGAAAGATTTTATCCTAATTCACTGGAGATTTCTCCTGGCAAGAGCATTTAAAAGTTTTTGTGTACTTTTTTCCCCCTTTGGAAAGCTTCACATAATCTTTCATTATATGGTGAAATGAAGAGTTTCTCTGTGCATCAGGTGAAGTTTTGACAAAGCTTTGAAGCAGTGCCCTTGGGGTCCCCCTGGTGTGTCATCATGAATTCAGCTCTCCCGGGATCAGCAATCATAATTTCCGGAGGGCTAGACTCTGATTTGCATACAGAATGGCCCCTGTCAGCCTGCCAGAGGGAGGAGGGGTGGCAGTGGTGCTGGCGTTTTGCTGAGACGGTTGTCAATATTTATGGCTCCCAGAAAGTAAAAATCAATAATGCTGTAAGCCAAGTGGAAGTTCCATTAGCTAAAAGCCAGGCTTCCTTCTTAGGGCAAGGGAAATGAGAAGCACAGGAGCCTGTTTGAGAATCACTTCCTTAGGCGTTATTGACCTTCACAGAGGCAAGATAGGCCACTGCATCTAGAAACATCTTGCTTAACCCAAAAGCTGGAATGCATTTTCGTATTGCCACCACTCGTAATTGTTTTCATTTTTACAGGTACTACGAGAGTTAGGGGAGATTGTGTGTGTGTGTTGCGGGGGAGAAGGGTGCATTAACCATTTGCATCACCTTTCCTGCCACCTGTGATTTGGAGGATTGATAAGGTTATACCCCTCTTAATAGTGCATTGAGCAGCCAAAAAATGGAGACTTGTTTAGGGATGTCCAATGTTGAGGGACACATGTTGAAATTTTAGGGATGTTGTAGTATTAATGCTTGGCCATCCTGGAAGCCCCATTCTGCTTGGGTCAGTATACGACTCTACACTGTAAGCTGTTTCCAGCTATCACAGAAGCCAGAAATCAGTGATAGCTAGATCAACACACCATTCCTGTGGTTCACTGTGTGTGTGTGTGTATCCCCTTTTTTTTTTTTTTTTTTTGGAAAAAAAAATGTAGAACATCTTCCTTTTATCTCATTCTCAGGCCATTTTATTCAAACATTAATCTCCTCTCCTGTTATTTCTTTATAGACCCAGCCATAAATAAGGGTATTACATCTCACCTAAGTTTTCATAGTCATCGTTCACGGCCTGGCTCTCATCCCACCTATTGTTCTGAAAATCAAGGCCAGATCTCCCTCCATAACAAAGGGGGAGAAAAAACTGCTTACTAGTTTGAGT